ACCTTGCACTGTCCGTTGACGCACTTCTGCCCCTTGGGACAATCGCAGTCCTTGCAGCACTTCACGCAGGGACCGTCCTTGCAGCAGCGCTTCAGCCCAGTCGGGCAGCCGCACGGGGACTTGCACTGTCCGTTGACGCACTGGTGGCCCTTGGGACACTCGCAATCCTTGCAGCACTTCACGCAGGGGCCGTCCTTACAGCAGCGCTTCAGTCCAGGGGGGCAGCACGGGGGCTTGCACTCTCCCCTGAYGCACTTCKTCCCGGSGCCACAGTCGCAGTCCTTGCAGCACTTCACGCACGGACCGTCCTTGCAGCAGCGCTTCAGTCCAGGGGGGCAGCCGCACGACGGCTGACACTCGCCCTTGACGCACTTCTTCCCAGGGCCACAGTCGCAATCCTTGCAGCACTTGACGCATGGACCGTCCTTACAGCAGCGCTTCGTCCCAGGTGCGCAGGGACATGGCGCCTTGGCATCAGCGACATGGAGGGCGCATGCCAGGACCACCAAACTCGCAACGGCCAAGGCCGCAGTAAACCGACCCATCTTCGCGACCGGCACGGCTTTCGCTTAAAAGGTTATGGTTGGTTGGCGAGTTGAAATTTCCAACAGCGCACCCTGCAGCAACAGGACACACAAGCAAACGCAGCGATGAGACAAGCATAAGTATGACGACTGGGCAGCTTCGACAGTGAGCCCGCCCACACGGGTCATGGCGTCGCGAGCGAACGACTAGCTCGAACCCACTGCGCAGCTCTCTACGACCTCCGTGAGCTACCAGACAAGCTACGACCATCACACAGAGAGACAAAGCCAAAACGATCATATCAAACACAAAAGACAAGGAGGAGTATTCTCACGGAAAACACGGTTTCAGACCCGGACAAGAGAGAGAGACGGAAACGTTGGTCAGGCGCTCGAGGGTTCAGGAGCTCCGGACGCGCAGCAGATTCGGCGGTGATGGCCATGAGCATCAACAACTTGGCAACAACGTCACACACACACACACACACACACACACACACACACACACAGCCTCTTCTGTTTAGCTAACGACCATCAGTTCTGAAACCACTCCAAACTGCTCGCACCAATTATACACATAACAGCGAATGAACCACCGAGACTAAAAGCGGATCAAACAGCCGAGAGCGGAAGGAGTGGTGGGGGGCAACAGAGAGAAGCACAGACAGACCCCCCTTCTCCACTCGAAGGAGAATAGAGTGCGACTTCTCCTTGCTTACGCAGGCCAAGACTGATTGCCGATTTTCGCTTCTGCCTCTATCGGCATCTTATCCATCCTTGGTACTTCTATTTGCAGATTTCGCGGAAAGAGATAACGTAAACGGAGAAAAATTCGCCCCAAGATTTAGTTCATACCACGGAAAGGCAGGACAGACAAGGAAGAAGAAAACCGGACGCAGGAGAAAGTGGGGAAGACATGGGAGATCATATTAAGAAAGAAGGTAAATGTGGCTACAAACTGCGAAGACAAGAAGTAGGAAAAGGACGTAGCGAAAGGACGGAACGTAAAACGACTGCTCTATTGCTGAAGCGAGTACACAGAGGCACTTCTCACCACGTACCTTGCTCCGAAAGGACACAATCGTAATTGCCCCCCCGTACGGTTGCGAGCAAGCTTGACCTGGGAGACGTCTGCGATCTCCTTTTATTCCTTCATCACATGCGCCATCTTCTTCGCTACCGCCCGCCTCCACAAGACCCGCAACGCGGAACTTCTTGCCGCCAAGTACTATACTCCCTGTTGCAGGTGCTGACGTGCAGTGCTCTCCTGTTTGCATTTTTTATTTTTATTTTTTTTCCTTCTTTTCTTTTTTTCCTTTCCTTTTTTTGTATACGCAGCTTACGAAAGGGCGCTTCATTGATCAGACCAGGGGTAAAAGCACCTGCCCGATGAAGGGTCCGAACCCTTCCGCGATGGCTCCAGACTACCCGAGAGGAGCGTCGCGTGCTGGTAACTGGGGCCAGGGCGTATGCCCCTTTCACACACCATTTCAGTATAAGGGCATACCCAGACTAGAACTTTCTCTGCTTATTTCTGGACCGGATTGCTGCTAGATTCATCCAGGTCGGGCTGCAATCGCTACCAGATACGTTAAGCAGATTGCCAGTGTGAGTGAGTATGCCCTACGAGAGATTTCGATTGCCCCGCTCCCGCCTTCGATGCACTCGTTTTCATTTCGTTGTCTGTGCCGTGCGGCGAGGCCAGTACTGCACTGCACACTGCACGTCTACTGGCGCCTCCCTGCCTGGTTGTGTCCGTGCCTTCCCGCGCGATTCCCTGCCTGGTTGTGTTCGTGCCTTCCCGCGCGAAGTATCCACTGGCACTTTCGTTGGGATCTACGATCTAGGAATATGGCCTCGCTGCACTACTCTCCAAATGTGCGAAACGAGACTGAATCCACCGCTAGAACATGGAAAGATACATTGCCATCTTTTCTGTCGTTTGTGCATGTTGAGAGTAGTGCATTGAGGCCCATATTGATTGAATATCCAGGGTTGTTGCCGGGCTATGAGCAATAAAGGCTAATTCAATTACCTGTCAAATCTGGACAGGACGGCCTTTCAGGCCCTTAAGCCCAACCAATTCAATTACCTGTCAAATCTGGACAGGACGGCCTTTCAGGCCTTTTTTATTGTTTTTTTTTTGTTTTTGTTTTTGGAGAAACATATAAACTTTTATTACCATGGTCAAAGGGAACAGGGGCCGGGAAACCCCACAAATCCCGAAAATAGCTGGGGCCGTTACCCAGATTAGGCTCCTGGAAACCGGGTGCAGTGTCCCTTCAACTAAATCAAAGTCCTCCAAAATAGAAAAAAAAAAAGGAAGAAGTGGCAAGCACAGGCAATTCACTGAATAGCATCATCCCACTAACTTTGCTCCAAGGTGGTTACGGGGGATTCCTAAGGAGGGAAGCTAAGACGCTCCCCATGTCCCACAGGCGACAGCAACCACGGGCAAAACTGTAATCTTCCTACGGAATCCAACTTAACCAACACAGAGTCCCTCCCCCACGAGTTCCAAAACCACTGCCTAGACTTAGCTGAACCTGGAACTTGCCTTCTCGTACAGTCACTGCGAATAAGAAGGCGAATTTGCTGTGTAACCAGTGCTTTCACAGTAATGTCTGAAATACCCTTATGTTTGAACAACTGGTTGTTACGATTGTCCCAGATCACCTTCATAAGAACAGCTCTAAGGTTCTGAGCCACATAAAGCCAATCCTGTTCTAGTTTCACATTGGACCGATGGAGGCCTGACAAATTCCACTCATCTGACCAGATAAAAGATTCCTTAGTAATCCTGTTCCAATGCCTGATCCACCAATCCCAGATTCTTCTGGACGCCGGGCAAGAAATCCATAAATGCCTGTTGTTCTCCCAGGGCCATTGACAACGAGCACAGACTGTCGAGATCTGCATACCTCTATTGGCCAATGACAAGGCTGAAGCAGTGGCTAAATATGTAGCCAAACTATACTGGCCAGTTTCTGGGAGGGCATGCACTTGAACTGCCTCCATAAGGAAGACAACTGGTCTTCAGAGATMGACAGCAAATCTCCATCTGATCTTCTCTTGGACACCACCGCATTAGGAGACTTCTCCACCAAGTTCCGTTGGAGTGCAACACCGACCTTGGCCTTGTAAGCCTCCAGTGTGATATTTCTGTATCTCTGGTTYACCTCCCAGCCCACTGTCATAGGATCCACTGCTGCAAGGACCCGGGGTTTCAACCCCACAGGAAGGGTAGCAGACCATCTAGAACCGCGGTCACACCCCGACTTGGATAACTGCAGTTTAACCACAACTTCATGCATCCCGTCCAAGGCATCCAGTCGTAAAGGAGCCGGCTTTTGCACCAGCTCCTTGGAAAATTCCACGTCATCCGGCACATGCCATTCAGTAGCCTTCCAACCCTCCTTTCCCAAATCATCAGTAATCTGAAAGATGCTGTATGGTGCAGAGGCAGGATCTTTAAGCCAGAGGCCAGAAGGGGGGATGTGGGTATGAGTAAGCAGATGCATCCAGGCCCGCGGAATAGCCTGCTGAATTTCTCTTAGCCTACTTGAAACCTGACGCAACCTATACAATTTCAACTTTATGTCATCCTCTGAGCGCCAGTTTCCTTTGCTAGAATCCCCATAGGTCAACTTCTCTTACTATACCTCTCCCAATCCAGGCCCTGCCAAAACATCCAGCTGCATCTCTTGCTGAGAATTCCTGACCCCGCGAGTCCCTAATCAGTGGATTTTCAAAAATAATCTGATTTAACACTGCTTCTTTAGATTGAGGGTGTTCTTTCGTTGTTGAAAACAGTTTTGACCAAGCCAACAGTATACCCTTCCAGCCCCTGCCTTTTTTATTGTCATTATAGTATTACGAGGAACCCCGTAGCAGCCACATCCGTGCTCCAGCCTCCAACGAGGGAACATGCGGGAGCTGCACCCACCAGCTGGTGCGATACCTGCTACAGCAGGTGGGCGATACCGGCCAGGGGTCAGCCGGTAGCATCAGGACCGAGCTTCTTCGATGGGCCAGTCACTGTGCCTCCCCTCCGGTCCCCTCCCCCTATGAACATCAGCAGTCTCTACTCAATGCCATTCGGGGGGACCAACGGCATATCTCTAGGTGGCGGGCGCCAAGCTTGCCCAGGAAGGTACATGAGGCCAATGGGGATTGAACCCAAGACCTCCTGAATGCCAATAGAGGGCCTTCCTAAACCACCGTCAAAGTGAAAAGAAAAAAAAAGTCCTTTGTTTGCAAAAAGAGGAACGATCGGGGCCGGGGTCCCCACAATTCAACCCGGACAAGAATCTCTGGCAGCATTAGCCAGCTTCGCTTTTTACGGCACCAATAGGAACCGAACACATCAAATAGCTGATCAGACAAAAGGTCTAGAAATAGAAGGGCGTCAATTCAGTCTGGAGAAAGGAAGTAGCAGAGCGCAATGATATTCTCGGAACGTAGGCAGCAGGTTGGGGGTTGATAAGAGCGAGTTGGAGTAAGAGGGATTCGGGGTGATCAGGGGGGAAAGGAGGAGGTTAGGGGACGGGGAAGGAAAGGGGGCCAGGAGGATAAGCTGGGGGCTTGGAAGAGGTAGGGAAGGGGGGTGTTAAGGAGCAGCTAGGCTAAGCAGAGGAGAGCGGGGGGGTTAACAGCCGTTAAGGAAGATGAGTGGAAACAAGGGAGAGTAGGGAATGGAATGTGGGCTAGGCCTAGTAAAACGGCCGGACACCAGCCTAAACGGCGGCTGGTTGGAGCCAGAAGGCTGGCTCCTGCGAAACTTGACACTCTCCTCCGTCCGCCCCTCAGCAGCCCTGCTGGGGGCCTACTGCGGCCAAAACAACCGAGTGCCCTGGTTACAGAAAGAAACTACCTTGACCTACATTAAGACAGCAGAAGATACTTCCTGATCAGAAGGGGAGTGGTAGTAGAGAGAGAGAGTTTAAGCAAGAGACAGGCCGCTACGCCTATACTAGTGGCTACAGAGCCCGGGAGATTGAGCATGAACTGTGAACGGCAGCAGGGGCTGAACTGAAGAGTGAAGGAACGGAGCATTGAGAAGGAGACTCGGAGGAATCTAGCTAGAGCGAGGCGTTGAGCCACGGTGAAACGACAAGCTGCCCAGATAGAGACACTGCAGCCAATTTGTTGTCTCGCGCCCAAGTGACCAGGAACCAATGCCTGCCTCTTGGCGTTGTGCCCCTTCTAGCCTTTCTGATCCAGTCGACCTTGATCATCAACCTGATCCAAGCTTTGACTTTGCTGATGATTACCGCGTCGGAGGTCCACTCCTGCTTGAACACAATGCTGTTCCTGTCCTCCCAAATGACCCAGAGAAGAATGGAGCGGATGGACTGGGCCACATAACCCCTACCGATGTGTTTGAACCAGGAGGATGGAAGCTTACCATGGAGAGCCCATCTCTCATCCCAGGGAAGTAGGTCTCCCACGAACCTGGCCCAGTGGCCGCCCCACCAAGTCCACAGTCTGCGGGAGGCAGGGCATGACCAAAAGAGGTGATCAAACGTTTCCTCTGCGTGGTTTCCACATCTGGGGCATTTGGTGCAGAGGTCCATACCTCGTTCGAAGAGCCAAGTTGCACATGGGACGGCAGCGTGGGACAGCAGCCATGACAGGGCCGCGAACTTTTGAGAGGGCAGCGACTTTAACTGATCCCACAACTGGGTCAGGTCTCGGGACTCCAGAGGGGGTTGTGACTGCACCAACCTGTTGAGTCTTCTGGCTGCAGCGTCTGGCAAGTCTGGCTCCTGCGTCATGATTTGTCTGCCGATCTTGGAGGTGTATTGCGAGAGTAAGATGCATCTGCCTCCTGGAAGTAACCAGCTGTGGCCCATGGGGTCGATCTTCAGTGTGCTAAGAGGCTTACCACCCGTTAAAAGCTGAAAGGCTGGTGTTTGTGGCGCCCGAGATGTGGAGCAGACTCTGATGAGCTGAAGAGGTTGCTGTGCCACGATGCAGACTTCCGTGGGGGAAACTAACGTAGTGGGTTTCCCCGGTATATCTTGTCTTGTCCATTGCTGTGCGAGCCAGAGGTGGTCGCCGAGATGTTGTGTAACCTGAACGACATTGTCTTCATCCTCCCCAACATGCCTTGTGAGGTACCATTCACCTGGGATGGGGTCAGCTGATAGCAGGAGGGCCATCCAGCTGGATGGAATAGCTTGAAT